TCTCTCTCTCTCTCTCTCTCTCTCTCTCTCTCTCTCTCTCTCTCTCTCTGAGATCAAACTCAGGACCTTGTGCTTGCCAGGCAGGTGCTTCTGCAGCTGAGCTACCTCCCTGGCCCTCTTTTGCTGTTTTGAGACAGGATCTTGCTATGTCTGTAGCCTCGGCTGTCCTTGAACTACTGTGTAGCCCACTTTGGTGTTAAATGCTGTGCAGAAATCCTCCTGCTTCAGCCTCCTGATCGCTGGGATTTCACGTGTGCTCTACCACACCCAGCGAATTCATTCGTTTTTTACTTCTTCTCTTTTTCTGTCCCAGGCAGTTACTGTCACACTATCTGGATACTTCCATAACCTCCTTTTGTCACTAACAATGGGAAGAAAACCATTTTCCCTTCTGATGGGTTCTGTCAAAGCTCTAGTTTTAATGGCTCTGTACACTGTGTTGCGGATTTGCAAGTCACTGGGAGTTTTAGAGAGCACCATGATGGTGACATTCCTAGGGGAGACTTATTGCAGTGGGTCACATTTGCTGATTGTCGCTAGTGGATGGCAGCAAGGCTCAGGACTAGTTTCTCCCTGCGTGCCCTAGCTTGACCCTGAGCTGGCCTCTTGAGCCCCATGTCTTGGGCAGCACACAGGGCTCTCAACCAGTGAGACTCCTGTGAGTGGTGGGAAACAGTGCCTCTGGGTGATGGAGCCTCTCTGTCTACACCAAAGACCAGGTAGCCCTGTTGGGTGCCTATTGGCTGAGCTGGCCCAGTGACATGGGTCCAAACTTCTCTTATGGGCTGCGGGGCTGCTCCATGTCTGTGGTGACAAGTGCAGGTGCAGGTGCAGGTGCAGGTGCAGGTGCAGGGAGAATCCGGGTGAGAGATCTCCCCACAGTCTGTTTCCTTTCCTATGCAGTGAAGCAAAAGAGCGCCCAGTGGAGCAGATTGGGGTGAAGGGTGACATCCCTGCAGGAGGAGGTCCTAGGGTATCACGAGAGCCAAGCTGCCTTCTTTCCTTTGCTTTGTCCCCACTTTCCCCACGGCCAGCCTGGCTCTCAGCTGGTGAGGGGTGCACAGCTGACCCAGTGATGGCCAGGTCCCCCATTCCCCTGGAGGCAGCCTCACTGGTCAACCTCTGCTTCCTTCTCTGGGACTGGGACAGATGCAGGCAGGGGCTGGGCAGAAAGGAGCTTCCTTTAATCAGGTGGTGAAAGTGCTCTTGGGGGTGCTGACAGGCACCATCTCAGGCCAATTTTGTGACACTTCAAAGAGCAGAGGTCAGGTTGCTGTTGAGAAGCCAGCTCCCTGCCCCCTGCTCTGACTTTCCTGGACCAAGAAAGAGGTGGGACATCTGTGCATCTGTAGACTGTAGGTGAGATCACAGACCTCGGAGGCTGCCCTCCCTTTCCTTTAGAATGGAGATGAACTCAGAACCCAAGATTAGTAAGAAGACAACCATCCAGCCTGGGCACACAGGTGACTGACACCCCATCATGGCTGTTGCCCACGAATGCAGAAGGGAACTGAGTCTTTGCCCACCATGCTTTTTTTTTTTTTTTTTTCCTCCAGTATGCTTCTAACCCCTGTGCTGAGATCCCTTCTGCAGCAAACCCAGCTGCTTGCATTGGGCTTCCAGTTCCCAATGCACTGGCCAGGCCACAATTTCTCACAGGCCCAAAGGAGTGGCTTGAATCATAAGACAGATCTCCTTCCTCCCTGGGAACAAAATGTGTTTGGGACGCACACACTTTCCTGGAGCTGCAGATGGAGCTGTGGACGGAGTTGCCCCGCCAGGGTGGTGTGGTGGGGGCTCTCTCCTGCCCCCTAACGCTGGGCTTCTGCTCCTGCTGGATAATACCTGAGGTCAGGCATGGGCTAAGTATAGCTGCCTCCTAGCAGGCGGTCAGTAGCACTGTCCCCAGCTCGGGGACTCAGGGTCAGGCTCCATCTTGGGCTGAGGGCTTTCTAGAGGAGTTCCACCTCCTCCTGCTTGGTTCCTGGGCTCAGGAGCAGATTCCACTGAGCAACTGGAGGGAGTGCTTGATGGGTCCTGGTGACATCAAAGGTGTCCAAAACTCAGGATTTGGAACAATGGGCTCATGTGGAACAGAAACCCTTGTTTCCATGCTTTCCAAATTCTTGTCACTTCATCCGTCACACACTTGCATGTGGGGGACGAGAAACAGAAGAAACTCACCATCCCCGAGTGCTGATCACTTGCTCTCTGTGTGGAGCATGGTCAGGTCCAAAAGCCACTCGCAGTGGCTGGGCACATTCCACAGCTGACTGGCGTCCATGTGCCAGGCATGGCCCTGAATGTGTGCGGCTGTAAACAGAACTGTGGTGGTTAAGTGCAGCCCGATGAATGCTCCTAGCTGACCTGTTTCCCAACAGGAGGTGCTCCTCATCCTG